TAGTGAGGTTGCAAGTTCGATTCTGCCGATCACAGAAATAAAAAGAATTTTACTGCAGATGCTACAACTAATAGTGTGAAGGTACAGGGATTAGTTGGATTGGATTGCATCTTGGTATATTATTAGTATGTACAGTTAGGCTGTATATTTCAACAAAAAGCCTTGGTATCCAACTGTTCATACCCACGTTCCCTATGAAGCCTTTGGTAGGTTCAGTGTTCTGTCTCAGTGGTCACTTCTATACCACTGGGTAAGTCTTGTCCAGGTGGTCATTGGGTCATCAATATACATATTCTATACCACTTGGGATTCTTAGGGACTAGATGGTCCTATAGATGGTAAAGTCTTGGACGCAATGTCCTTGTGATAGTTTGGCCTTCTGTTAGGCTTTAGACAACCAAGACGTTCCTGGCCGAAGGTGTAGGTTATGAGGTATAGGGTTCGATTTTCCATCACACTCGGCCCCTGGTTGGTAATCCTTGGTGGTAGTATGGTACCACTGTATGGTAATCCTGAGGTTTTTTTGAGGTCCTCCTGTTGTGCAATGCGATTACATGAATATCTGCTATACCATACCACCAATATGAGGGTGGGTGGGTACATGTGATTATGTGATATAAGCTGGATAGCATTAATGTTTTATCCTTCCTCCTAACGAGCAAGCGCTAGCAAACCTCAAATGTGAGTTGTACCTTTGCCCTGCATTTTGATACCAAATTTCACATTTCTGGAACTATATACACAGTTAATCTAGCAACTTTATATTTGGTCTGCGCTTGGGTGCAAATACTGAATGATTTTACACTCGACTCTGGAATTTTTTCCTGTCCTATGATTTCTCCATACAATAATATCGTGGAATTAGCCTTTGTAACATATGTATTAAATTCCATTCCTTTGGATTTTTCAGTCAAATTTGTCTCTTTGTTCAAATTCATTACCCTGTATTCGCGATAGTGCAATGCTTCTCCTATAAGAAGAACTCGTTTGAGAAATAATTCTTTATGGTCCTACTTTTCAGAATTGTTGAAATAGGACCCCGGATATCTAATATAAAGGTCATAATGGACTTTTGGCCAAAAACACCCTTTTTGCTGAAACTCAAAAAATCGTTTTTTGTAAATATCTCAGCATCCAGTGATTCAATTTTAATGAATTTTTTTTTATTTTGTAGTCCTCATTTAGCTCTACAATTTAAAAAAACGTTCATCAAAATTGGCCCACTGGATGCAGAGATATTTACAAAAAACGATTTTTTGAACCCTAAAAAATGGGCTAATCTGCCAAAAGTGTGACTTATGACCTGTTTTGGAGATATCTGGGGTCCTGTTGAAATCCAGACGTATCTCTTGCAACTTTATTTGCTATCTTAAAGACTCCGCTCCTCTTATTCCGTTTGAGCACAGGAACTTATTAATGAACGAAAATGGCTTAGATCCTTACAGCCTGTGCCATTGATAGACGCTATTTTTCCCTCCTCTCAAAACACCATGGGTCTCTTCACTGGATATGATGAACTTTTAACTCAAGATCCAGTCAAGTATTGGAAATCTTTGTCAGATATTTGGCGATTTTTCTCTTTGCTAGGGCTTTTCAGATTTCTTCCCATGCAAACTTCCTTTCACATTGTAGACTGATCACTCTCTTTCAATACTTTTAAACAAAATTTATATCCACATTTCGTGGTTTCTAAATCTTCCAATTTTGCGCAATTTCGCCTCAAACTCTGGTTCGATGAACTTCCTATTATGTACAGACTTCGTCAAAAATTTCCTGGTTTATATGTTAATGACTTCTTGTGTCCAATATGTGGCATCTTCATGAAAATGTTGGAACACCTATTCATTTGCTCACCATTTGAATATCGAATATGACAATTCTAAGCTCCCAAATCAAAAGGATGTAACCACAGAACTTATTGAACGTTTCCTGATCAAACTAGCCACTAAAGTATCTTCTTCAACCCAGCGTAAACAAATATACGACAAACTTCTTATTGCTCTTCGCAATATACAAACGCTTGGTCTCCCAGATTTATTCATGAGTAATAATTATTCTTCATTTTCAGCTTTATAGTTTCTCTGAGACTTCATTTCACATGACCTTCCGATGTGCCTTATGCGACACTCCAGTCTAAGTTACTAATGTATATCCTCCATTATTTCTCAAACGTTTTTGAAACTTCAGCGTGAAATTTATCATAGACTTTGGTAACCGAGGTGCAAAATTAAAATTAAGAAAGATGTGGCAAAGAGTATTTTGCTGAGTACTCATCGATCATACAAAGGACCTTCTATTTAACCTTTCCGCTTTTTCACTTCTCAAGTAGCTTTATCTCAGGCCAATGAGCCTCTTTCCTCGCTTCAGGCTTCTGAATAGTCCTTTCTTAATATCAATTGGCTCCATTCTTCCTTAACCCAACGATATTCATGGTTTCATTACTTATTAGGTTTTCTGAAGAGTCGAATAGTCCTCATCTGGAATCATATTCTGGCAGTTTGTAAGATCAGGTAGGATTTTCTGGATTTGGGTAGTTGATCTGAAACTTTGCTTTTTAGGGTTTAAAGTTAGGATATACAAGTTTGGAATTTATAGTCTAGTTTACTTTTCTATATATACAAATTTGTACGACTATTTCTTTTTATTTTAGGTTTATTTATTTACTTTTCTTTTTATTGTATATTGATTGAACGAAATTATAACTGATTAATAAAATGACTGTTAGCCTTTCAAATGTGAGTTGTATCAGTATTGTTCAGGGTCCTATCATATCACTATTTATTGGCTAAAAGGAGCAGAAGATAAAAAGAAAATCACGATAAGGTATGACAATACCATATTGAAGCAGACTTTTCAGAAAATAAATTTGTCGCAAGATTCTATATTGGTTAATACTGTTAGTAATGAGTAATCTAAATTTTTACTGTAAATCGTTGAAAAACACATAATAATTATTGCTTCTTCCTATTATAATTATTCTAATATAGATATTTTATTTGTATTAGTTATAGCAATTTCACATATCATAATTATATAAGCGTGATATTTTAAATGAGTTCCATGTAGTGTACTATGTATATTAATAAAAAATTGTTCAGACACTATTAAATAAAGTATAATTTGTAAATGAATTGTGGGGTAATTAATGAATCAGATTTTACCATAAGTAATCATAAGTTATCAGAGGATAAAGAAATGGATACTCAATTTATACAAGTTTTCGCTTAGACATCTATTGAGACTAAGGTTGCAGGTGAAATCCCATAGTAAACGCGAAACTTGACAAAACTATATTAAAATATTAATAAAAATTTGGCGAAACTTGACTATAAAAATCATATGAAATGACAAAAATATAATAAACTCTTATAAAAAAATTGACAAAATTGAGGTTTAGACGTTTTGCCAAATTCAAAAATTAGTTTAGCCTGCAACCTTAATTGAGACATACTTTACAGAAACTTACCATTTTTAATCAATATAGAATCGATATCATTAAGTTTATCTTAGCGGTATCATTTTGATATCATTTCAATATCATTTTAATATCGATTTAATATTGATACAATATCGAAATAAAGTATTATCACTTCAATATCATTTCGATATTAAATCGATATTAAAATGATATCGAAATGATAATTAAAATGATATCGAAATGACATCTTTAAATTAAACTTAAAGATGTTGTTTCGATATCATTTCTATTATCATTTTGATATCATTTCAATATCGATATTAAATCAATATTGAAATGATATCAAAATGATATCGAAATGATGATACTTTATTTCGATATCATATCAATATTAAATCGATATTGAAATGATATTGAAATGATATCGAAATGATATCACTTGAAAACTTAAAATTTCTGTAAAGTAGCTATCATAGTATAGGTCAGTCGTGAAATTGATCACTGAAATGCGCAGAAAGATATCAGTAAAATTCTTGCCAAAGAATAAGAGCTGCCTTATAAAAAATTTTTATCTGAATATTTCCATTATTTTTCCGTGTCTTCTGTAAAAATTCCATAAAAATGATATATTCACAGATATCCGTATTAGCGAGATGAAAATTTCCATGATTTTTAAGGCTATAAATTCCATTAAAATGATACATTCATGGAAAAAACATGGAAAGATAAAACATGAATCAGATTTTTTACAGGGCTGTGTAATGTGTAAATTGCATATATATTTACTAACTTGATTTGCATTTATTTTTACATCATGTTTCTGACCACACTATTATCATATCAGTAAAACAATATTCGGATATGAATACTTTTCCAGCAATCATTATTTTGTATATGGGATTTGGAAATATGTATGCTAATCATGAAATCATTTTTATCGATTTGTAGGGGGATTAACAAATGATAAAATATAGTGCATAATTGCTGGTGAAAATCTGGTGAATGTTTTTTCCTGCGAAATTTACAAGTGATATAAAACCCCATTTTTAGCTTTAGCCAGCAAGATAGCTGATTACGAAAGTAATAAATGGGCAGGTATAGAGAATTAAAAGAGCTTAGTTAATACAAAAGCGATCACTGTTAATGAAATCAATATTGGTCCAATCAGCAACACACAAAGTAGAGAAGAAAGCAGTATTTTGGAATCTGAGAAACCCTCTCTTGTTAGGTATAGAAACCTCAGATATAATATTCTCAAAAGTCTTGATAATAAAACTATTAGTGGTATAGATTTTCCAGAATTAGAACCATGCTCTGAATGTAATAATGACATTTTGACATTTCTCTCAGAGAGTTCACCCGACTACATTGTGAGTACATTTTTCATAAACTCTATGCTGAAAAAAAGCTTATGCTTAATGTACTAAACCTATGTCCATTCCCTGATTGTAAAAAGAATGTAGAAATCACAGAAATATTTTCTACTACTGTGAATTATCTGATTGGCTGATTGCTAGAATCGAATGTTATTATTCAAGATTCACTATTATCCCAATCAAGCAAAACTTCAGCCTTAACTAACATGATGAGCGAAAGGTTTATCTTAACTTCTCCATTCATGCTTATGGAAGGGATTGAGAATATAGGAATTCAACAGATGAAAAGTCAATTAAGATGTATTAAATGCTCTGAAGACCTTTCTTTGTATTTTCCTCCTCTAAGTTTTCTTCAAACCTTTCCTCATCCTCCATTAAAACCTCTCATACACTTAACCTGCAAACATATCATCCATTACAACTGTATCAATAATCCACAGAAGCTGTGTCCTATATGCCCATCATCTGATATGGAAATTGATGATTTGAAAACTCCAACAGAGCAGAGTTCAAGTACTGCACAGAAAAAATGTACTAGGGTATCATCCGCATTTACCGAAAAATCATCTAACAAGAAGGTGAAAAAAACTGGTGGAAAGAAGGTATTATTTATGCTGAAAAAGCTTATCAAAGAATTATTAGCTGATACACCTGTTGCCGCTATTGGAAAGAACTTGAAAGAAGCAAATGAAAGCGCAACCAGTATTTTTTTGCAACTCTCCGATAAGATTGATAATGCTGAAACTAAAAATGAAGGTGCATTTCAAGGTCTTATTTTCAGCTATTTTGATTTTGGGGAAGTTGTATTTAAATGATACAAAGAATTAAAACTTGAACATAGTAAGAATGGATTCCTAGCATTAGTCAAAAGTGAGGTTAGAGAAGCGATTCCTGAAATAAAATGTTTTGACGAAACTTGTGGAAAAAAATGGAGAGACCCAAAAAGGTTTATAAGCTTTTTAATAGTATAAGCAAAGAAAAAATAGCACAGATAAAATCCACCCCTCCTGGTTTCATCTTATCTTAAATCTAACTAAGGATGAAAAGATTATGTAATGGTCAAAATCTTAAAATGAAAGGTTTGTTAATATACTGCACCATTTCTTCTGCGCAATTAAGTTGAGCCCAAACACTGTGTCCAGACTCTCCTTCCCAGGTAATAAATTGGTAATCCCCTGGGGCGTGTCACTCATTAAATTTATTGCACGTCCGAAATGTGTGACAGGTTAGGCTGATCACGGTGACAGATAACGGGTGACAAATAAGTTTTGGACCGCTAAAAAAATTCAAGTCCCTCAGATAATTAGTGTTTTTGAACTCGTGGCTGCACGTGATTAGGTGACGCGTAAACATCACTCCTTCCTATTATAGTTGTGATCGACACTAACCTGTCACACATTCCGGACCGGCAAATTTAATGTGATCAAACTATTTTTAACTATTTTAAACTAAAATTAGAAATTTTCTGCTATCTATATGAGACCGGGAAATAAGTATAATCACTCGCAATTTTCAAAAATTAGTATGAAGGTAAACTTAGTGCGACAGTGAATTAATTTTCAAATAATCCATTCACTGATATAAACATCTTTTTGTTAGATAAAGTTAATAATTCCATCCATTCAGTCTAATCTCAATCGCATGTAAAGTAAATCAGCTGCTTCAAATGAACATCATCCTGATATTTTGAAAACGCAGTTACCGTTACGTGATTAGTATTGCATAAGTAAGTAATACCCGCTTTAATAAACTGAAGTAACCGACCATCATAATAAAGGGTAAAAAAAAAAAATATTGTATTCTCATAATATAAAGTCATACAATTAACATTTGGTTGCTGCTCATTAAACTTCATCATATCGTTTATAATTATAGTTTTTATATTTTTACATTTTTGGAACTTTTGATAGTGGATAAACTTGACTATTAAAATAATTAAATTTTCACGTAAAATATCTTTTTTTTTGGTTTATCATACCAAAATAAATTTTCCATCTTGTTCATCAGCAGTTAAAATTTCGTTTAAGATTTTTGAAAAACAATTGAGAAAATAAATTTTATTTTATTTCAACAAATTTTTAATGCAAAAAACTCAAGAGGTTCGATTAATCTGTACTGCAAAAAAGAAAAAAGAAAATAGGACTAGTACTTAAAAAAAGATGTCTATTAATAAATATATTAACCAACATAAGAGAACCTCTCAAATCTTTTTAATTAATATTTGTTTTGTCGATTTATCATTAATTAATCACTTATATCTTGTTTTGTCGATTTATCGGTAATAAACTATTTACGTCATATTTTTTATTAACCAACTTTGAGAACTTCTCGAATCTTGATAATTCCTATTGGTATTCAATTAATTAAAAAATATATTAATTATCGTTATCAGCTATCTTAGAAGCTAGATTAACAAGTAATTAACCGACTAATATATATTATATTTCTTTTAGTTGGCTAATAAAAAAACAAAAATAAATAAATAAATAAACTTACCAAATTTCTATTGTAAAGTCTATTAATTAGTAATATTTCTACTGTAGTGTTGAATTTATTAACAATTAACCGACTATATACGTTATATTTCTTTTAGTTGGCTACTAATAAGAAAAAAAGACGAATAAATAAATAAAAGTAAAAAAATAAATTATTTGAAATAAAATAATTTTTCGTACAGAATCAAAGTGCACAAAACACTCAAGATCACGTGAAGTAAACTCAAATACTTTTTGTATACTATTACTTACAATAAAAAATTTTAAAAATTATCCATTTGATTGATTTAAGCAAATATTATAACTTTAACTCTTTTAACTTTTCATGTACTAAGTTAAATATTAAAAGCATTTTAAAAAAAGAGTGTGAAATGTTGTTATTATTCAAGTGGTGAGTTAAGAGTAGGAGTAGAGGAGTGAAGGAGTAGAGGAGTGAAGGAGTAGAGGAGTGAAGCGGGAGTAGAGGAGTAAAGAGTAGTAGCGGAATGAGAGTATTTTTTTTATCTGATACAGCCAAGCATATGAATCTTATGAATCCAGTTACGTAACTGTTACATGTAGTCATGTACTTTTGAAAATTACTAACCCTGATAAGCTAATCTCAAAAAATGTTTCCAATAGAGGGTTCGTTCTATTGTACACCAATCATCGGTAGATAAATTTATTTTTGAACGCAACGATAATTGACAAATCAAAAATTTTCATTACAGGTTTACAATTAATACAATCGAAGAAATTAATATATATTTTTTTATTTAACTAATAAAAAAAATTTTTTCTATCATAAACAAAACTTGATAGGTCATTCAGAAGAAAACTTCAATACTGAAATAGAACAGATACTAAACAGATGTCTATTAATAATATACCTGAACTTATTTCAAGTGAAATTATTAACCGACTATCTTGTATAAAATTGAAGTTTCCAGTACAAATTGAAATGGATTTTCCCATAACTACCCAATTTCCAAAATAAATTTTTTATCATAATTGAGAGATCATCCAGAAGAAAAAAACTTCAATACTGAAAATAGAACTGATACTAAACAGATGTCTAATATCTTATTGAATGTAACATACTATATATCATAATTATATATATATATTAACCAACTATCTACCTAAGTTGTGAACATGGGAGACCTCTAAAATTTATTTGAATGATTGGATTCGTATTCCCATTATTCGACATTATTCGAAAAAAGAAAAAATTTTTTGCTAATATGTTCTGAAAAAAATAATAATAATATATTTCGATATAAAAATTTCGGTAGTTTCCTTTCCAATAATTAATATCTTGTTTTGTCGATTTATCGGTAACTATTTACGTCATATTTTTTATTAACCAACTTTGAGAACTTCTCGAATCTTGATAATTCCTATTGGTATTCAATTAATTAAAAAATCTATTAATTATCGTTATCAGCTATCTTAGAAACCAGATTAACAAGTAATTAACCGACTAATATATATTATATTTCTTTTAGTTGGCTAATAAAAAAACAAAAATAAATAAATAAAAGTAAAAAAATAAATTATTTGAAATAAAATAATTTTTCGTACAGAATCAAAGTGCACAAAACACTCAAGATCACGTGAAGTAAACTCAACTACTTTTTGTATACTATTACTTACAATAAAAAATTTTAAAAATTATCCATTTGATTGATTTAAGCAAATATTATACCTTTAACTCTTTTAACTCTTCATGTACTAAGTTAAATATTAAAAGCATTTTAAAAAAAGAGTGTGAAATGTTGTTATTATTCAAGTGGTGAGTTAAGAGTAGGAGTAGAGGAGTGAAGGAGTAGAGGAGTGAAGGAGTAGAGGAGTGAAGCGGGAGTAGAGGAGTAAAGAGTAGTAGCGGAATGAGAGTATTTTTTTTATCTGATACAGCCAAGCATATGAATCTTATGAATCCAGTTACGTAACTGTTACATGTAGTCATGTACTTTTGAAAATTACTAACCCTGATAAGCTAATCTCAAAAAATGTTTCCAATAGAGGGTTCGTTCTATTGTACACCAATCATCGGTAGATAAATTTATTTTTGAACGCAACGATAATTGACAAATCAAAAATTTTCATTACAGGTTTACAATTAATACAATCGAAGAAATTAATATATATTTTTTTATTTAACTAATAAAAAAAATTTTTTCTATCATAAACAAAACTTGATAGGTCATTCAGAAGAAAACTTCAATACTGAAATAGAACAGATACTAAACAGATGTCTATTAATAATATACCTGAACTTATTTCAAGTGAAATTATTAACCGACTATCTTGTATAAAATTGAAGTTTCCAGTACAAATTGAAATGGATTTTCCCATAACTACCCAATTTCCAAAATAAATTTTTTATCATAATTGAGAGATCATCCAGAAGAAAAAAACTTCAATACTGAAAATAGAACTGATACTAAACAGATGTCTAATATCTTATTGAATATAACAGAAATATCATAATTATATAAATATATATTAACCAACTATCTACCTAAGTCGTGAACATGGGAGACCTCTCAAAATTTATTTGGATGATTGGATTCGTATTCCCATTATTCGAAAAAAAGAAAAAAATTTTTTGCTATGTTCTGAAAAAGAAATAATAATAATAATAATAATAATCCATAACTTTTATCCAGATATAAAAGATCCATTCTATAAGTATAAATTACTAACCGGTAGATAGCCTATTAATATGACGCACGAGGCGACCATATTAACCAACTAGCTACGTAATTCATGTAGTCACGCGCACAAAATTTCCCAGATCACGTGAACTGCGAATAAATATGAGTGGTTACGGTAAGATTTCAGTTTAATATAACAAATGACAAAAAATAAAAAAAAATAAAAATTTTTATGTAAAAATATACCTTTTATACAAATAAAATAAACCCTACATGTTTAATGCCGACACTTCTCATATTTAGTCATTTAAAATATATTAGTACTTAAAAAAGAGTGAAAGAGGAGAAGTAGAGAAATATAAAGAATTTAATAGAGGGATATAGAGGAGTAAAGGAATATAGAGGAGTAAGCGGAAGTAGAGGAGAGTTTTTTTCCGGTTGAGAAAAAATTCCAAGTTCAACCTACACATAGTTATACAAACATATGAAATCGGTGTAACCGTTACATTGGATGTCATGCGCGTTTAAATCATCATAATCATTATATATCATTATATGATCTACCGCGAACGGGCCGAATATAAGTCCATCAGTTGATCAGTTCTATGGTTTACAGGGTTTTTTCAGATCCCGTTTAATTAAAAAAAGGAAATAATTAACATTGATAAATAAGTTGTATAAGTTGTATAATAAAGGTACGAATAAAGAATAAAAATGAAAGTTTTTCTTTTTTTGAACAAAATTTTATTTTTCAAATAATCCGTTCATTGTATTCATTGAATTCATTGATATAATCAACTTTTTTTTGTCAGATAAAAAGTTATAATAAAAAGGAAAATTGTATTCTCGTAATACAAAGTTTTATTTTTATAATGAAATGATCAATATTAATTAATCATTATAATCATTCATTATAATCATTCATTATAATCATCTTTTTGTTCTTTTGTACTCAAAATTGACATTGCTTAAACAGTTAATGAAGAATTATTTGTTTATATTTGTGAATTTGTGATTAATTGAAAGCTCTTCAATGAGAGAGCGATCTTTTTTTTTTTTTTTGTGATCAAAATATTATTCGAAAAAAAGGTCAAGGAAAAAGGAATCACGATAAATAATAACAAGATTAATTATGACTAATGAAAAAAATTATAGCTTTTGTTTTTTGTATCGTATATATCATAATCTTTTTTAATTTAAAATTATTTTTTTTTAAAAAAAAAAGAATACAATATAAATTAAATTTAGAACAATTAGAATAATAAAATAAACAATTATAATTAATTATACAATCAATAATCAACTTTTTACAATCTTTTTCCGTGCTTAATAATAAAATTTACTTTTACCAGCCTTTCAATTATATTCTTCACGAATGGCTCGACCCCGAGTATAATAATAACCTTAATATTAATTAATATTAATTAATATTAATTCTAATGAGAAATTAATTTACAATTATGTACAATCTATACAATTTATCCGTAATCTATTCCATAATCTTATATGGTCTAATCCATAACAGATAATTTAATACGATCTATCCATAATCTATTCATAATTTATTCGATCTATCCACAATTTATCCCTTTTTCAAAAAAGTTTCGAGTTTTTACAAGTTTCAAGTTTTTACAAAAAAAAGTTTCGAGTTTAAGTTTAAAAGTAATTTAGTTTTTTTTTTTCAAATCGGATAAAATGATAAAATCTAAATCATTTTTTCATTTTTTTTTTAATCGTTATAATCGTTATAATCGTTATAATCGTTATAATCGTTATGGATCGTTATGGATCGTTATGGATCGTTATTAATTTACGTTATTTACTAATTATTTTTTTTTTGTTATTACTAATTATTTTTTTTAAAAAAAATAAAAATTGGGTTAAATGTTTCTTATAAGATTATAAGATTTAAAATTATTAATTTAAGAATTATATATATATACTGTATATACCATAAAACCATAATTACTATATAACTAAAACATATTATTAAAACCCATATAAACTTAAAAAAAAAAGGATGATTTTGTGTTTTTTTTTTATAAAAGTGATGTATACTTGTATGCATATCTTTATATATTAAACTAAAAATCTAAATAAATTAAACTATGTACTCTACTAAAAAGTTCGTTTATTTTTAACTATCATCCTTTCTTTCTTGATCATCATCGTCTCTTCCTTTACCCTTTTTGCTTCCCTGGCTACCTTTTCTTCTACTACCACGACCAATACTACCACTAATACTTCTAACAGCACCACTAACAATACTCCTTATTGAAGAAGTAGATTGAGGAGAAGGAGGTTCTTGTTGTTGTTGTTGTTGTTGTTGCTGTTGCTGTTGCTGTTGCTGTTGCTGTTGCTGTGATGGTATATCTATACCAAATTGTTCAAACATCCTTGTTTGATAACCACTTGAAGAACCTTCACCACCGGCTACGCCAGAATCTATTACTTCCATCTCTTCTTGATTTTGTCCTGAATTATCACTTATTATAGGATATTCACCAATAGATCCGACAATACCAATTTCTGATAATCTAGTTGTTGCTTCAGGCCTTCCACCTTCAGGTTCTATAACAATAGGATGTTTAATGGGAATTTCTTGAAATTCAATATCAATATCATCTCTTCCAAACATTGTTTTTTTAATAACATCATGTGATAAAGAACCGTTAACGGAAGTAGGTCGTTTACTTGTAATAAAAGGTGAAGGTGGCGGTGTTGGATGTTGTGGACGTGGTTCATATTTTCCATTTTTTGATAAATCTTCCAACTCTTTATCCTTTTTAATCTTTTGTACCCTATAATATGATCTTGGAGGTGGACAAAATATTCCATAACCCAATATAGCTGTTGATTTTAAAACTATCACAACACTACAAGTTGATATGGCTATTATTGGTATTATCGCTGGTATTACGGTATAAACAAGATATATAACCTATGATGAAGAATTAGAATAATTAGAATAATTAGAATAATTAGAATTTTTTAAAAAAAATCTTGAATAAATTATCAAAAATTTTGAATAAATTATTTCATAAATTGAATAAATTATTCATAAATCTTGAATAAATTAATTATTCATATATCAAATATATCAAATATATCAATACTTACATATATTATAAATTGAGGAATATCTTCAAGAAATTTAACAACACCATTAATGATTAAAATTATTTTAGCAGATTCATCTGATATAGGAGCATCAAAACGTTTATAACCAGAATATCCCGAACTTAATATATTTAATCCTTCAATATCAATACTTGAAAATAAAACAAAAAATAATGCAGTTTTTGCATGATTTTTCCACCATTCTCTAAATTCAAAATTCTTATCTTTCTCTGGTGGTGATCCTTGAACTGTTCTATTATTATTATTATTTTCTGGTGGTTTGATTTCTTTTAATTCTCTGGTTACAATCATAAAGGTAGCTATTAAATTTATCAGTATTGGGAATGATAATATTACGACACTAAATTAAGAAAAGAGAAAAAATAAAAATTTTGGTTAATGTTAATTACTTGTAACACTTTTTTGATAATTTTGAATTACGAAATCAACGTACGTTGCGGGATATAATCCTTTTAAATCATGACCATGTACTATTATAAATGCTATATCTAATCCAAAATCAACCAATATTATTGTAAACATAAATACAACGTAATTACGTCCCTAAAAAAAAATTAAAATATAAATTATTAGAATATAATCCTAATAAATATTGTTATAAAAAATAATAAAAATTTTAACGTACTTTTTCGGATTTATTCGCCAAGTAGAATAATAAAATTAATATAGCCAAACCAACACCCACTCCTATTAATATAAATCGATATCTATCCCATAAATCAGCTATATAAAAAAATTTTAAACGCGTGTTAATAAATCTTTTCACGTTAAAAATAAATAATCTTTTTTAATACTTACGAGTTGATATACCACCAAATGTACTATCCAACATACTAGAACAATCACCTTTACTAATACCTGTAAAATCTTTATTTCTAATTAATATATTTAAATCTCTTGCAATCCTTTCACTATTTATACTACTATCAACACCTATTAATTCATTATTTGGACCTTTAACATCCATACGAAATAATAATTGATCTGATTCAGTATTTGGATCAAATTGAAAATGTTTCGAAGTAGATAATCTTATTGGATCTACTGGTATAATTTTTGATAATTCTTCACTCATTTCTTTTGAAAATTGTTCCTTTTTTGAATTTGATAAAGAATTAAAATATTTTGTTCCTTCAGGTGTTAATCGAACTATAGAACTAGAAGATCCTGTACTTATATCTTGAGTGGTTATACCTAACACAATAAATTAAAAAAAAAAATTAAAAGAAATTACTACGCCACACAACGAACGAAAAAAAAAAAATTTTTTTTACTGCGGTTTACTTACTTGTATTAAAATTCCAACGATTTTCTCTTATACCAAGTAAATCTTGACCAGTACGTAAATCTTTTACGAAACCATTATCAACTTTAACATAATATTGTTGACCAGGCATATTAAAAGTAGATTCAAATACTGATATAGTAACAGTTCTATTTTCATTATCTATACTAACGTATTGTAATTGATCACCAGAAAAAGATTGTCTTAAAATATCTTGATTATGATCACCACTATTAGAAGTTTGCCAAATACTAATATTACCATTTGATAATTCAATTAAATTTGAAAAAGTGATTGATATATTAATAGGACCAGGAGTAGTATTAATCATACTACCAATTATAGGATTAACAGAATCAATAAAAGAATTTCCAAAGATCAATAAATTATTTTTTGAATTACCATTAATAATAGAAGAATAATTTGATAATAAATCATTCGTAATTAATTTTAAACCTTGTATAGTATTAGCTATAGACCAAATAATATTATCAGTAAATACACCCAAATTACCAGTATAAGATAAACTAATACCATCATTAGTTGTAATAGGCATTTGCCAATTATTACCACCAGGATCAGTAAATAAAACACCATTATTACTATAAATTAAACCCAAAACATTATTATTATTATCAGGATTTTGAATTAATATTATATAACCACCATAATATAAAGAATCAACATTAATAATATTAACAGTAGGAAGAGAAGTAGGATTAAATATTATAAATTCATTAGTGGATATAATACTTCCAGAATCTAAGAAATCAATATTAACAAGGATATTAAAATCATTAAGATAAATTAAACAATTATAACCAAATTCCACAAAAGAGATTCCACATTTAAGAATATTTAAAATATTTAAAGTAGTAAAACTTTGAGTTGGTTTATATAATTGAAAAGGACCTCTAATTTTAGTGAAAGAAGAAGAAGAAGAAGAATGAAATAATGGAGGTAAAGGAGGTATTAAATAAAGGAATATGGCTAATTTATCAGAATTATAAGTTAAAATACCGTAACCTCCATCTTCAGTTGGAAATAAATTTCTAAAATTTTGTGAAGAAGTATTTATATTATTTATTGTACCATGATCTTTTATATTTATTGTTCCATTTTTACTATCAACAGTATATCTAGACCAATTTATTATTAATCCTTGATTAAAATCATTTAAATAACACGCCAATAAAAATTCTCCATCACCATTATTATTAATAATATTTTGTATTACAATAGAAGAATCTGTACAAGAATGTTCAAAATCGAATTGATCTTGAATAGTATTATTCCAATTAATTATCATTCCACATAATCCCGCAACATTTGATCCTTGTTCTAATTTACAAAAATATGTTAATAAAATTAATTTTTGTTGTAAAGCATAAATTCTTATACCATCTAAAGGTATACCACCTTCAACAAAATGATTTGTTGATGGTATACAAAAATTATCATTAAGTATTCTATCATCTCTAATCACTACATTATTATTGAATGTTCCATCCGGATTAATTATTCTTAAAAAAACCTGATTCTCCGAACATCCAGTTGTCGTTACATTGATCAATCTTAATAATATAGTATTATCCGAATAAATCTTTGATTGAATCACTCTTTCGTTTAATGAGGTCGTATCAGTTATTGATATTATGTTTGTATTTAATGATAATATTAGTTTTGGTATAAAACACGATATGAAGAGTAAGATGAATAAAAAATGTAGTTTTATGTTCATAATTTTCTTTTTTTTTTTTTTTCCTAATTTTTTTTTTTA